CTTCCTCCAAATTTCGTCTGGAGACGATAGATGCATGACGTGATACATGACCTCGTCCGCCAAACATAATCGTATGGTTCCTGCCGCTCGCTGCTGCAATTCTTCCCAATCTTCCTCATCCATCGACGCCGGCTTTGTAGGTCGCAAAGCCTTCAAGATCCCTTGCTGCGCCAATAGATCCTTCACCCTCGTTTGCCATAATCCGAAGTTACCCTGACCATCGAATTTCGCGACTTCGAATTTTGCTCCTGACATCTGATACCAATTGTTGACGAAAACGGGTAAAGAAAACGAAAGAACACGAGAATTTTACGAGGTTCGGTAATGTGCTTACGTCCTCGGTGCCTAGGCGGCGCTAGAATTTTATTCAATGATTTTTTTAGGTCTAGGTTACATCTCTATTTATAATAGAAAACCCTGGTACATAATTACAAAATCAACCCTGTACTTTACTGATATATTTATGAGCCATACCTAACAATGCTGAAGATGTATTGTTAGATGGTCGCTCCTTACCTTCCAAGTATAAGTGTATTTCCGTCACGGGTTGATTTTCGGTATCAACCTGCAAATAGAGGATTCAAGAACAGGTCGGCACTTTGGGACTTCAATAAGCAGCAAGCAATCATAAATAACTAAAATATTAACGTGTATCGTGCAAGTATTATCGAGTGGTGCAATACGATACCCGTGTTGTATTAACATAAAGCCTAGGCCCCATGAAAGTGAACTGAAGCGACGGGGATGCTTGCTTCCTTCGCTTGAGACCGAGAGGCAGATCACCATACACAGGAGCCCATTGTCGAGGTAATTGAAACTCGAGAAATACATGGAGTTCCTCCATCGGTGGTTTATCTGCAAGATATTTGTATATCACCATTAGAGGCCAGTGCTCACATATGCCTTCACGATACAATCAAACGGGATATAATATATATCTAGACGTTTAGCATCGGAAAGATCAACCGGAAGGTACGATTATGCAAACTCACATCGTATAAGTTCACGGAATGGTTTAAAAATCCAATGCCCCGAGCACCCTCAGTAGAGAAGTAATAGGCACAATGGACATTGATATAACTTCGGGAGACTGCGATATAGTCGAGAGCCACCGGCTGTGACTTTGACTGAAATCAACACCTCCCCTTCGAATATAAACAATCACAATATCCTGCAAAGTTAAATGAGAGTCACCATTACCGAATGCAGTTTGCTTCTTAACCAGTGCGATTCTGAAATAACAGCTAAAATGGACACAGAGAAACTTACGTTATTCTTCGAGCGAGTAACAACAGGTGGTCTAACTGATGCAGCAAGCATGCCTTGAAGGTCCCAGGGCATATAAGGTTCATCCTGAATCAATAAAATACAGTTGAAAGTGATGATTCCCCGGAAACTCATCGAAAATCACAGTTTTGCCTATTCTAGAATGCAAAAGAAAAAAAAGAACCGACTAATAAGTATGCACCATTTGTACCTTCGGTTTTCCTGAGAATTCAGGAGTTACGTCGTTTTTTGAGAACCTCTCATCAACTAATTGCTTTAAAGTTTCCTGCACTTCGTTGGGATCAAGATTTGAATTCTATGATTGCTTTATGTGTATAACATCTTTACCTCCCATTTTAACCCCGGTGATAACGTGCGTGAGTACCGTATTTTTCAATGAACCTGGAGAAGGAAAAACATAATCGGTAAGGATTAAGAAAACTAACACGAATACGTATAGTTAACCCGAACAGAGACACTAATGTTATAACTGCAGTCGTCGTGCTTGTGTTATAATCTGAACACAGAGGACTGCAATTCATTACAATATAAAATCTTGATTCCAAGCAGGCCTTTTACTCCAAAGCGCACTCAACATTCGTAAAAATAAAAAGAACTTACTCGGCAATGGCGGCAGGGTCCCAAGTACTAGGCACCTCTTGCCTCACACGCTCGGACAAAGTTAAGTGTGCTCTGTCGAGCTCGACACTGTACAGTGTTATGAACCAACAATCGTAAGCAAAACTTTTTGTGGCACCGGCATTCTTCGGCCAGCAGCCCTTGAACTCGAACATGGCATTTAATAATCCTGACGGAATCTTGCCGGATAAAGAGAGATCCTGGTTGAACTTTTCCAACATCTAAGCACACAATGAAACCGACAAGTTAAATGCAGAGGAAGTGAAAATTCCATGAAGAAAAAACTAAAGAAAACACTTGAATTCGGAGCTCGTTTATTTTGGATTTCTGTTGCTTTCTTTATACTACAAATGTTTATGGACAAGTTAAACTGCAAAACAACTTCCTTAGAACAAAGATGCACGAAAACCAGCAAAAACACACACACACACATATACTACTTTGCAAAACAGCCTACCAAATAGTAACAAAGATGCACAAACACCAGCAAAACAGAAACAGTATTACATACATACGTATATACATGCATACATACATACTCCTCAAACATAAAGAACGGAAAATAGATAAAAATTAGTACCTGATTGTAAGAAAGAACATCGGAGCGAAACCTGGTACCTTCGCCTTTATCACATTTAATCGAGATGGGAACATTTTTAACAACCCCACCAGGAAAAACCAGTTCACGACTCACTGCTGTGTCAAGTTTGATCAATCTCGACCCAGAAGGACCCGGCTTGCAAGCTGATAGCCTTATATCATTGGATAAATCGTACCCGAACCCGATAACCGAAACCGCCTTTTCCGCCGCCGTTTGAGGGTCCAATTTATGAAAATTTCCGGCCATGGGTTTAGCAGTTGACGTTGACCGGGTTTGCTTAAAGGTTTAGTGGAACTGAGTTTGGATTTGGGGTGGGAGTGTTTAGTCCAATTCTGATGAAGGAGACGACGACCCATTGATCTAGTCTACGGGTCGACTAATTCTTTTAGTTTTTTTTTAAATAAATATATTTGTCTGAAAACTGTGAAGTTTGTAAGAGAGGGGACGAAAAGGCGGCTGGCCTGAAAATGCTTACACGTGGCGACTTGTCGAATCGCTTCCCCTTTTTTAATCGCTATTTTGCTAAAGAATAAATCAATACTTAAACGCAATCTTAACTTATTGGAGATTTTTTAATAAAAAATTCAAAGATTGTAGAATTAGACTTGTGGGTTAAAAAGTACCTAATTGTTTTTTTTTAAAATGAATCCTTAAAGTTTTTAAGTATATCTGTAAATTATGCTGTCAAAATTCATCGGGTCAATGAAATTTAGACTACAATAGTATTAATTTCAATAAAAGAGAATATAAAAAGTAATAACAAATAACATATGTATGTCTCAACCATCATTTTCCATTATTTTATAACATGAACTATAAAGATCTTTTATAAAATCAATATATTTTAATTATTTTTCAAAACTGCATTATAATTAAAATATTTTAAAAAATAATATAATAAATTTCAAGTCTGATTTGAGAATTAAAAGAAAATTGGGTACTCTCTGTTGGCTCAACCATGGTGGCGCTTCCAATTACTCCCTATGCTTAGCCTAAATTATGAATCTAATCATTCTACTTAATTTGATATTTTGTCTTTTTACGGGTTAAGTTGAATTCCATTATTAGTCTTTAAGTTATGCATCAGTTGTAAATATAATTCTTATCTTCCAATTTGATCATTTTAAACTCTTGTTATTTTAGTCGTAATATCCCTAGTATCGTTTAGGTTAGAGACTGAATTTCAAAATTCGAAGAGTACAAAATTTTAAATCGACATAATTAAGACATAATAACTAAATTCACAGCTTATGCATAGAACTCGATCTTCTTGAACACCCAACAACCCTCCTGAAAGGACTTGACTTGCAACCCTAAAGTATGCCTTCCCCCTTGGTTCACACAAAGTCTGTTTTCCAACACAAGTGGGCAAGTCTCGGTCATACATATGTTATATTTGCATATACCATGAATGAATCACATTCACAACACTATGACTATGTCTATGTTACTCGAATTCAAGTGCAAGTATTAGATACGAGTATATGGCTCGTGTAAGTTCATTCTTTTTTTTTAAACAAGTTTTTCCATATCCAGATAAGTTTCATGGGGTACTCTGAAACAAGAACAAAGTTGAACTAACTATCTATGCATTCAATACCAGAACAATAGTGATGAACACTAGTTGTTTTGTATCTACTGAACCCGGTACAGAAGCCACAACCTGAAGGAAACTTAATTGAGATCACAACATGATAATCTCCGATATTCAATATATTTCCACGAGTATTCTTACCGAAATCGACACAATCTCAAGCAAACCACAACGACTACCACATATTTGCAGTAACAAGATTCCAATTGAAAACCATGATACGAACACATAAGGTCCTCATCAATCACATCAAGAAGCAAATTGAATATCATGATTTCTGACAGGGAATGATACATCACTTCATAAAATAGCCTATCAGCCTAATCTAGTTCTTTTTCAAACCTTAATTTGCGGTAGCAAAATATTTGTTTCTTTTGATCACCTTAACAGATGATTCTAAATGAACATATAATAGCAAAATCATTAGGAGTAGCTAACATAAATAAAAAGAAGCAAATGCTTAAGGATTTCTTCTATATAATTACTAAAGAAAAGGAATGCTTAAGCAAAATGAAATGAGCACGGGTCTCCGTTATTCTACAAGTATGACAACAACGTAGAAAAGCCAAACACTTCCGTGATTAGAGAAAAAGTAAGACAGACCAAAGAGATGATCAAAACAGAGTAAGTCTCCACAAGAAATCAGCATATTTCACGCCAGTTTTGATCCATAATCTTGGAGGCAAAGAGACCATAAATATAAATATTCGTATCACCATAACCATAATGCTTCTTACGTTCCATATTGCAACCCACCTAAAATTTTCTTGACAAACTGCAAGGCACTACAATATAAGTCACTTCTTTTTAACAACTCCTAGTCTCCTACCTTATATCCATGAAAAGTGTACCTTGCAACTAACTGTTCCATTGTACTACTAAATGGTTCAGCTTAAACTCCTTGGGAGATTTCACAACATGCAAGCTAAGAAAAATAAAATAGTCTCTTAGACTTGCCAACTGTTAGGAAGACACATATATTGTAGAAATTCATTCTAAATACAGCTAATAAAGAAGCAAAAACAAATCTTTACGAAAACATTTCATGAAAAAATCCAGAATTTCATGATACTCGGTTTAAATTGTACAAGACTTTCATTAATTAAATGTGCAAAAGATACATAAGCACTCGGCCTAACATCTCAAGATTTTCTGTATTTATTGATATATCCCTGCAAAACAGAAAAAATAATGTCAATTTTATGAATGAGTTACATTAAAAAAATACAACACTAATAGACACTTGATAGAGAAAAGCAATATTCACACTTTGGGATCTAGTTCAGTTGCATGAAGGGGATTGGTAGAAGAAACGGAGCATTTATTTTATAGAACGTGCACAGAATAGTGCCTCTGGAATCAAAGACTCTCACCTCAACAAGTCTTGCTATTTTTGGTTGGGCTGAAGAAAGATATTGCTTAACTGACTCAAACGTGATTGGAACCTGAAGAGGCTGTATGCTACCAAGAACTTTGTCAACTGCTTTTTTGACTATTGTATTATGAGCATCTTTACTGAGATGACCCTCACGCCAAGTTGGTTTCAACAGTTCCTTAATTAAATCTACAAGAGCAGCATGAAAATGCCTCATTGCTTTTGATTCTTTTCGCAAATCCCCATCTTCCTTATGTTCAACCTCAACATCTATTTCATTCTTTTCTCTAACCCTATCTACTTCCAAGTCTTTTTTGCATCTAGTCGTGCCTCTTCGATGTCTGCGATCATGATCTGTATCAATTTTATTTTCCGCTGAAGTGTTTATGACACGAGAAGCAACCGAGGAAATCTCTTCTTTCACCAGAGTCCCATTTTGCATCTCAACTGCAGAAGTTCCATCGTTTGCATCAATTGTTAGCAAATCTTTTCCAGAAGGGTAGCAATTATTGTTGACCCAATTCTCATGGTATCTATTATGACAAGACGCTGTTCTTTTATCATCATTACGTCCAGGGATCATTGGCCCTGTTGATGTAGAATCGCCATATGCTGGTGGATATGCTACATTCAAGAGTGATGGACCTGGATTAGAGAAAGAAAATATAAGAGACCTCTCTCCTGCATTGGGGGAATCAATGCTATCACGAACAGGGTCATACTGGCTTTGCGGAGATGATAAGCCAGAGGTGACAAAAAAGGATGGCCGAAAGGGTAATGAAGGTTCCCAATCATCTGAAGAAATTTCTATTCTACATTCAGAAAAGTGCAATGGATGATCCCTGGCAATATCATTTACAAGAAAGTTTTCTGGTTTAGAATTAGTGAAGGGGGAACAGACTTGCAGCAAACAAGATAACCTTGAAGTACAACGCTCACTGTCATTGTCCAACATCTTTTGAGCACCAAGAGGGCATGCACTTGAAGAATAGCTTAAAGGCAGTGATGCTAGGCATGTTGAGACACGAAGCGATTGATTCGCATTATATGCATTGCCCAATGACGTAACTGAGCCGCTTAATGAAGATATATTCTCAGGAACAAAACTATTACTGAAGGTACCTTTATCTCCCAGTGAAGCAAGCTTCGCATAATTATCATAAGGAAAATTCTGACCTAATCCATTTTTCCTTACATCCTTAGGTGGTCCCAAACCATATATAGATGCAGAAAACCGCTGAGAGGCAGGGGAAGTGACCATGGAGTTCTCCTTACTCTGGAGCAAAGGGAACTTATTAGAATCATGAAATTGATGCAACCTATGGCTTTCATCAAGCCCCAATGGCAAGATTCTTTCTGGAAAGAACTGAGAAGATAATCCAACCTTATTCACAACTGAGGAAGGTCGTGTATCAGTAGAAGCAGGAGATTTTGATCTTTCAGCAGCACTTCTAAAACCTGATGCATAAGGTTCTTATTAAAATAGCACGTAGAGAAGATTCTGGATCTCCGTAATGCAGAAAATATTTATTACCTTCATCAAGCTCAACAGCTCTTTTCTCTTCTGCTACATCTACATCTTCCTCGGGCTGTTGTCCAGGATTTTTCCCATCTTTTATGTGAAGAAATGTACATGAACTCCCTTTGATGCACCATCCTCTAGCAAAGAAGTCACATATAAGCGCAGGGCGTTTGCTCTCACTGTCAATGCCAGGGGATAGACTCCCAGCACTAGTGAGAGAAGCAGCAGGCCTGTGAAACATATTGATTAGTAAATCAATGGATGTGAAATCTTTGGAAGGAAAAATTTTCATGATACGAAACTTAGATTCATTCTATGTTATAAAAGGCATATAGGTCTCAGCCCACCTTGATTTTATCTTCCTCTTACCATCCTCTCTTTGCACATAAATTTGCTTACTTTTTTCCTCAAAGCCTAGGCCACTCTGAACTCCTTCATCTGAGTGATTTCCAACCGGAATGGAATTAACCTCATTGACAGCAAGCTTTTTAGTATCCTGATCATGGTAGTCTTCAGGGGCTTTTCTTTCTAAAATGGCTCGGGTATCTTTTCCATGAACCATATATTCTTGAATTGCCTTTTCCTTTGCAGGCTGTTTTCCAGATACTGAATACTTGGAACCATCATATTTTGTACATAGATCCTCCTTTTGAGTTGTCAACAGTTCATTTGGAAGACTAGAAAATTTAAAATTAGCACTATCCTCTCCTACATCAAGGGTTTTAGATGATATTCTTGTTCCACAATTTGCAGGAGTATTAAACGAATCTGATCCGAGTTGAGCATCTACATGGAAGAAAAAGTCAATCAAGATGGCAAGAAACATCCAACATTTCCAGTCACACTATGAAATATTATTGAATAAAATACGGAGTCTCTACATTTTATTTTATTGTAATCTGGGGACTTTAACATTTAATCACCAACCAAAAGAAAGCGAAAATATATACAAGCGCCTGCACTGCTGTTTCAATTGCAGTACTGCAGGAACGCGATAAAGATAGACCAATTCTGCTGATGCTAAGAGGTCACAGCACTGTATAACAGTGTGTTAAAGCTAACAGCAAATCACAAAAATGGTTACAAATTTCTCAAAATACTAAAATACTTGGGTTCAATTGAAAAAAAAAACAATCTATTTGTTGAATGAATGCACAGAAAGGAAAATCTATAAAAATCTTTTTCCACGTTGAAAGTTCGTGTCTTTTTTCTTCCTTTTTAACTTCCTTTTCTCCCAAAACAATACAATCTTCTAAAAAAAATCAAAACTTCGAACAGATGCAAGTATTTGATCTCCTACTAGAAAACTAAATTGTCATAAATATTGAAACAAATCAAAATCAATCCACCCAAAATTCGATTGACTAACCATTTCGATTCGAAGAGCCTTGCAAATCGTCTTCCTCTTCTATTTCATCGTCATCGATTTCCATATCGGAGCTGTTAAATTCACGCTCGACGGTCGCGGCAGTGCGGCTTTCATCGACGTTCCCGGCGCGTGGGGAGGCGTTGTATTCTGACAGGGACATCGGCGGAGGAGACCGAGTGGTGATAGACGTGATGTGAATTTCTGAGTAGCGCGTGAGCTTTAATCATGTTTTGCCATCTGGCCGTCGATCATTCACCTGGACGACGAAGACCCTTTCCTGCTTACTTATTCACGCGCGTGCTTCGAAGATGATAAATTAATTAACCTCTCTTTGGGCCACTGTTGGATTTTAATAGGCCATATGCTATTCTAAAAATATGGTTGAAATATCTAATAGGCCCCTCTTAGTTTCAAAATTAGATAAATTGACCCTTTCAGAGAAGGAAACCTCTATCAAATTCAAAAACGATAAATTAAGGAATATTAATAACAGGTTAATGTTTCCATCAAGTGTATATAACTTTGGTTTACATAAAAAAATCATCCCTCAACATTTAGACATTTTTAAAAATATAATTGCTATATGTTAGGGCATTTCATAATTCGGAGGTCTCTTACGGAAACTGCTCTCAACCTGGTGTTGGGGGTAGCCTACTATTTTACCTCCCCCCTTACCCCATATATATATGGGAAAAAGGGACAACCATTTATTTATATCTAAGATATGATTATCATAAGTTACCATGTGATTCCCAGTTTTCTTGGTTGAGTATAGTATACTTAAAGGATGAGATAATCATATATGTTCTCCAATGTAGCTTGTTCAATTGACCTAATATAATGGTGAAATATGATTTGGTAATGTGCTTTTAATACAATAAGAAGAGGAATTTAAATCCATATATTGATAAATCGAAAGTTTTTTTATTTATTTAAATCGTCGTAAAGTAGCTTGAGAAATATCAAAATAGCCGGTACAATTAACTACATATATTACGATTAATGCATCCTTCAATCTGTAATTGTATCCCGTTCACGATAAATATATTGTATTGTGATATTTCATAATTCCTCCTTAACAAGTACGAAATTCCCAAATAATTTTATCATACATGTGTTTTTTTAGGATAAATTACAAGATTGATCACCTTGGTTTAAGTTTTGTACATTTTTCGTTGTATTGAATTCAAAAAAACATAAGATTTAATCACTTTCATTTTTATTTAATTAAGATATGATCACTGAGGGTTAACTATCGTTATACCTTTAATAGATATATGTCATGACACAATGAATTTATAAAATTAAAAAGATTAAACTACATAATTTATCACTAATATTTGAGTAAGTTTTTGTTTTTCCCACTAAAGTTTCAAATGAAACAAATTGGTCACTGAAACATCATAGGTCCTTGAGCAATGATTTTATATCTATCTCACCCCAAAAACTTTCTAATTTTTCTAATTTTTTCCAATTTTTATATGTATATACTTTTTAAGTTCTAAAAATAAAACTTAGAAATTAACTTTTTTTGGACACAAAACAATCAAATATTTCGAATGATAAACAAAAAAATTAGAAAGCTTTTGGAATAAATTAGATATAAAATCATTGTTCAAGGACCTATTTGATGTTTAGTGACCAATTTGTTACTTTTGAAACTTCAATGGAAAAAAAAACTTACTCAAAAATGAGTGATTAGTTGTGGTTTACCGTTTTTAATTTTATAAAGGGTAAAGTATAATAATGATCATTGAACTTTTCTAAATATTTCATTCAGGTCCCCCAACTCTTAAAACTTGCAATATAATCCCCTAACATTTAATCCGTTTACAATATGGTCCCTCAATATTTAGTTCATTTGCAATATGATCCCTCAATATTTAGTCCGTTTGCAATATGGTCCCCGACGTAACTGTTGGGAGACCATATTGCAAACGGACTAAATGTTGGGGGACTATATTGCAAGTTTTAAAAGTTTGGGGACCTAAACGAAAACTTTACAAAAGTTCAATGACCATAACTATACTTTACCCAAAATTAAAATGATAATGTAATTATTCAAACACATAAACTTGAACTATTGTAATTTTTATCCCTCTACTTTTACGAAAGATTAGAAGTTAATTTTAATTTTTATACTTTATTAAGAGTTAATCCAATAGCACTGTTAAACTTTAGGGTAAATTACGTATTTAATACTTAAAATATCAGTTTTGATACGTTTTAGTACCTAAACTTTCATTTCTTTTCAAAATCATATCTAACATTTAATTTTCATTTCTTTTTGGACCCCTCCGTTAAAAACTTAAGGCGTTTACTACCTAAACTATCAGTTTTAGTACCTAAACTTTCATTTTTTTCTTCAAAACTTAACGTTAAATTTGGAATGTGGTACTAAAATGAAACAAACACTAAAGTTATTAATGGTGGGTACTAAAATGAAACAAAAAATAAACTTTAAGTATGGTTTTGAAAAAATTGAAAGTTTAGTTACTAAAACATATCAAAACTGATAGTCTAGGTACTAAATGCATAATTTTCCCTAAACTTTATGGAAAGTGAGAAGTTAACTCTTCTACTTGACCTGTATAGACTTGAATTATTAATTTTTACTATTTTGTTGCATATTAATGGCTGAAGGATCAAAATATGCAGCTTTGATTTGTGTGAGTATCAACAACTGTACAAACATCTCAGCTTTCGTAAAGTACTATAATAGGTTTTGATAAATTAAAATAAAAGAATAATTTATTAGTTTTCATAAACTATGGGATAAAATTTATAAGATAAAATAATCTTATTGACCAAAAATGTTTTACAATATACGATTTTAATCAATTTTTTTGAATTTGTCAAAATGACCAACTAAATCGCAATGTGATCGATAATTCGCAACGAGATCTCCGGTATCGCATTGCGATAGTCCAAGTTCGCGTTGCGATTTATTCCAAATTCGTTGCGATAGTCAGAATTGTATTTGTTTCTTAAGAATTTTCTCTAAAAAGATAGTATTCGCACGGACGTGTCTAAGATACGTATTACCACGACCACGACCACGACCCGAGACGAGACGAGACGGACGGCGGCAGCGACGGCGCGCGAGAGTCCCTCTTGTTCTTTATCACTCAACAAGGAAGTGGGAAAGCCAAGCCTTAAATACCATTCACAATAGTGTTTCCAATACTATGTGGGATTGAGCATTACCAACACTTGTTCCCAATACTATGTGGGATTGAGCCTTAAATAGTGATATTGTTTTTTAATGTTTTGCTTAAAATTGTAATAATCGCGATTGATTGTAGATTGACTTTTAATTATGACATATTTAATCGTATAATACTAATGCAATTGGTTGCTGATTTAGTTGTTTTAAGGTGCATGATTGTTAATTGTTTCCTGAATAATCACATTGTATTAGAAACAAGTGTTGGTAATGCTCAATCTCACATAGTATTGGAAATACTATTGAGAATGGTATTTAAGGCTTGGCTTTCCCATTTCCTTGTTGAGTGATAGAGAACAAGGGGGACTCTCGCGCGCCGCCGCCACCTTCGTCCGTCTCGGGTCGGGTCGTGATCGTGGTCGTGGTCGTGGTCAATGAGGTTATTTTCTCAATTTATAATTAGACGTTTATTATTATCATCATCAAATGCTAATCCAATTATTCATAAACACATTAACATGAACTTTACTAATTTATTGAGTACATAAGAAAATAAAAAGATTTGTGTAAAACACGAAGATTAAATCTTAACAAATTAAAAGAAAAATATTAAATTTGTAATTTTCAGAAAATGAAAGGGTTAAATTATGGGATATGAGTACATAAGGAACACATAGTATTAAAAAAAAGTTAACAGTAAAGCATACACTTTCTAATGTGCCATAAAGTCCAGTGAAACACTTCTCAAAGATCATATTGAAATTAAATAAAACAAGATTAGGGTATCTGTTATGATTAAGAAACACCTATCCGATATAACAATTTGTCTTACAGTGGACAAAATTACACGATTAAGCAAGAAGAATCGGATGACATTCAGCACTGCTTTCATTTTGGATGAAACTGTCCTCCTGTAAGGATATGGTACAGAAGTTGTTTTCTACCCCACCTCCACCATATCGGCGGCTCGAACTCCCGTCTCTTTTTAACTCGTTTTCCTGCAAACAAAAAGAGTGGATTCGAGGAAAATAATATTATCAACGCACAATAAGTTCGAGTTCCCGACAACGTGAACAAACAAAAAAGAAACCCTATATCTGCAACAAACTATATATCAATAGTTAGATTCCGAGAGAAGCTCGAAAACAGTTCCTTACTTTTGTTCTCCACGGAATACATCCCCCACTGCGACTGCAGTTTTTCAAAGCTTGAGCTTAGATTCGGCCAGTAATTCATCTGAATCTTCAGGACTTCCAGCACTGTACGCAGGCCGGCTCTAGAAGGAATGACGTTATCCGGTTCACACTCACGACTTTCACCCAAAAGTACCTATTCCATATGATACAAAAAGGAGCCTGTCAGAATATATTGCATTATACGATTTGGGTTTTAGCTCTTTATAAAGGGTTATGGAAGAACCAAGACACAATTCAATGCAATATACAAATATTATACATGTGTCTAGTTATGTATACACACCACGGGTGTACAAATGCATATACAAATCGACCAACGTCATGTTAAACGAAAGCAATTACAACATGGCCTTGTTATTTTTCATCTAGTTCACTCTTACAAAATTAATGGCGCATCATAATTTGATCTACATTATTTTGTGTGTATTTACCTTAATCACCGAAGTAGCAGAAGAAGATATCGAACGGAGGTTGTAGCTGCCAAAATGAAAAAGTTGATGAGAAGCTTTAATTAGATGATAATCTTGACCTTACCTAACAGCAGAGAATAAACCACAAACCCGCCCTCGAGTATAACCAGCAACTTTCCACCAGAGAGGGTACACAACATGTGCGTCACCTGTGCATAACCAGCAGGAGTCACCTACAATGAAAAATCGACACTCATTATGCAATACAAGGAACATAAAGGACAAACTCAAATTTACAAAATGAAAATTCTAAAAAACTCATAAAATGAACCAAAACATGCATTTACTCAGTTTGATGAATTAAAAATAGGGTAAAGTATAGTAATGGTCACTGAACTTTTCTAAAGCTTTCATTTAGGTCCCCCAACTTTTAAAACTTGTAATACAATCCCCCAACATTTAGTCTGTTTGCAATATGGTCCCTCAACATTTAGTCTGTTTGCAATATGGTCCCCGACGTAACTGTTGGGGGACCATATTGAAAACGGACTAAATGTTAAGGGATTGTATTGCAAGTTTTAAAAGTTGAGACCTAAAAGCTTTAGAAAAGTTCAATGACCATTACTATACGTTACCCTTTTATAAATTGCAAACAGAAAATCAAGGGCGTAAGAAATGGAAAAACCTCAGAAGAAATCAACTTTCTAAAAACAAAAACTGTAAACCACGAATTAACCCTCTTGACTTTGCTTTTATATCTTTCCCCTTCCCCTCCTTTTATCAGGAATGCCAAACCTTTGGCCTCACCCACGTTTCACTAAGCTTTAACATACTTTTCCTTTAACCCTTCTATTTAAGACATCCCCCGAAATGGTTTTCAGGGTCTGGCTTATGTTGATGCTTCTGTCCTTGGCAACGGCTATCGACGAACCCTCCATCACCACGGTTAACAGGGCCGCCTACAATGATCATGTCCAATTTGGACATTGTCACGGCGACAACAACTTCATCAGAGATATCGAAACCGAGACCGAGACGAAGCGTAGGGTACTTTTACCGAGAGCAAAGCACATTGGCTATTGTGTACTTAATGCTAGATATGTCCCGTGCAGGAAACCAGGAGTGTCCTACTACAACTGCTAGCATGGGAATGAAGTAGTCCTATTACTTTTAGACAATATTTCTAGTATAGAGTCGGACAGATGAAAAGTTTTCGAATCTCTTTTTGGTAGGAGGTCAGCTCGTCAAGCTTGTAACATCCTCAAATTCGTTATGTTTTTCTGACATTTAAAAAATACAGTGAAATAAAAAAGTTAGAAATGTTAAATTTGTGAATAAGCGGGGAACCTAATTGAATAATTTGAAATGTTAAAGAACCAAAAGTAAATTTGACCAGATTTTTGGAAAAAAAACGACACTCTCCAAAAATTAAGTTCGATGATAACATATTTATCGACGTGGCTTGCATGAAAAACGAGTCTAAAACATGAACTGAATACTGATTGTATGTTGTAAGAAAAAAAAATCATCTTATAGATAAGTGATGTAAACTAAACTTTGGTTTATATAAATCTATTTATTTAGTTAAGGGTAAACTACATTGTTTGAAGTGGGACATCAGTAGTTGGATCTCGGCGACTTATTTCTCTCAGAATGACGTTGTCTAACACCTCAATAAAGTTTGGTCGGTTTTGTTGGTGAACCCATCTATTTCATCAGAATCGGTTTGGGGCCAATGAACATAGCCATATTAGTTGGTGGATTGAGGATTTTTGCTAAGGTGGTTAGGCTGGTTGGTATGGAATCGGAACTAAGTCGAGATCCGGAAAGAAGAAGCAATTTTCATAAAAGGTTAACGTGCTAGATAAGATGTTAACAAGTCAGGTGTGCATTTAACGATTCAATTTAGTTTTTCGTCATCAAAGTTAACCACAGTTAACGTCGAGTTATCGTTTTGTTATAAATCGATAATATAATGACCAATTTGTAACTTTCAAAAGTTCATTGTAAAAAACAAAAATTTACTTCACTTGCAAATTGAATTAAATATGTGATTGTTAAAAAAATCCATTCTAAATGCTTTTATTTGAGTGATTTTTGAAACTTTAGAGAGATGAACATTGTTCGAAGAGTTTACTCGAGATAGATTATTATAGATACAAGAGTATTTTTTTATCCTTGCAGTATATTTAATTTATCACTTTCGTCTCAATTATGTTTTCGCATTAATTTAATCCTCGAAATTGTTCAATTGCATCATTCTATATTATATCCTTAACTTAGAAGTCTAAATTGTAAATCATAAACCCTAAATCCTAATCCCATAACTTCTAACCATAAATCCTACACCCTAGACCCTAACTTAGCCTTTATAATTTAGGGTTTTAAGTTAGGGTAGGTATAAAATGACACTATAAGCAACTTTGAGAACTAAATTTATGTGAAAATACGATTGTGACGAAAAAGATAAATTGAGTCTACTACATAAATAAAAGTGACCTTAAACCTTAATTATACATTGTATGTAATTTTTTAATTTTATAAATAATAATAAAAAATATAGTATATCTTTAATTACTATTTTCTTAAAATAAAGCGATTTTCATTTAAATAGTTTGAATTGAACCCAACATTTAAGACATTATTAGAGTCGTAATTCCATCAATTCCAAGCATAAACTCCCATAATTGACAATCACCAATCAGAATAAATTATTGAAAAATATAAGATTGAAATATATTAGAAATAAAAACATGAAATAAAAAAACATTCAATCTACTCCAAATATGATTGAAGCATAATGTGAATCGACATTTTCTTTAATTTCTGTACTAAAAAAAGATTTTTTTATATTTGTTTGGTACAATAATATATTTGATTAATTATCTTCGAGCGCACCAACTAATTTATCTAAGTGGTTAAAATAATTTTTGTTATTTATAAAGATCACGTGTTTGAGTACTAATAACTACATCATGATAGTATTTAAAAAACAATATTTTGTAATCACTTAGCTTAATAAAAAAGTTAAATATCTTTGAGCATTATATTTTAATCGATTTATAAATATATTAATAAACTCCCTTAATATTATTTTCACTTGAAATATTATCAATTTTTATCCATCGATCTAATAAATAAAAATAAAATATATAAAATAATTAAATTATCAAAATTAATCTTTTAAATATCTATTATGCAAGGTTATGAATTTAAAATTTTAAAAATTAAGAGGATCTTATAACAGATTTTTATATTATTCAATTTAAATTAATCAATTAATAAATAAAATAATTATATAAAAAATCCTATGCAACTAAAAATTGAAAGAAAAATACAAAAGAAAAAGAAAAAGAGAGAAATCCTTTTCAGTTTTCAGTTCACATACTGTTGTCTTATGTTATAATCCAACCGGAAATTTTCAGTTTTCACGTTTGGTCGTTGGCTTCTAATTTAGGGATAAAATAACTTTTAGTCCCTATATTTAATAAAAAAGCTAATTTGGTCCCTATTTTTTTCATCCACAAGACTCGACCAACTTTTCTTATTCAATCATTTTTAATAAATAAACACTCTAAAATTATGTCACATAACTACTCCAAAAGTGTCATTATTAAAATGACCAAAAATTCAAGTTAAAAAGTAAGAGACCAAGAAAATATTTAAAATTCATTAATTTTTATTACAAAAGCGACATCATGCGCACATGGAGGTGAATTAGCCTATCAGGATTTAATTACATGTCATAAATTTTTCATATATAAATAAACTTCAAATTTTCCTGTCCCACCAATCAAAAACTTAAAAAAAAACCCAGATTTTTTCCCTTTAAAGTGGTCAACTTTGAAGTTTTAACACTAGGATTGTTAACAAAGAGACAATGAGTGGAGGTTCCTTGGGCATTCGTTCTGGGAGTTATGGTTCTTTAGATAAGCAGCAGCAAAATGGAGTTTTGCCGATCCAAGCCCCTTCAACGACGACAAGAACAAAGCCTTTTAAAATGTTCAAAGAAAAGGAATCATTGGTTCATTTGATCTGCAAATTCGCCGGTCGCCAGAACATTGGATTACCCTCACGAAATTATCCAAAACGAACGGGAAATCGTTGTTGGAAACAAGCTTTTTGTCGTTGATTTCTGCTGCTAATGCGATCCCTGAAGAACCCTTTATTGGCGGCCTTCGAGCTGGCGTCGGCTTTGCTTTCAGCCATGGAAGCTCAACGTCTTGATAAACATAACCCAAGCTTCGAGTATCAAGGCAATCACCAACTTTAGCACGGAGGAGATTGGCATTCTCATCGTATAAAAGAAACGATGAATTAAGCCAATCTTGGTTGTCGTAATCCTTCCGATTACCGTTTCCGATCATCTTCCAAATATTCCATATCCGATCGATATTCTCGAGTGATGAGCGTAAAACATAGGGTCTTCCCGGCAGAGTGAAAGGCTCCCATGTCTTCACCATTCGGCTGCCTAAAATCACCACACCATACATGAAGCGGTTCATGAGGCACGTTCTCGACCGAGCCTGTATTAGAGATAAACAACTAATTAATTAATAACTCTCCTATATCTTATGATATTCATTAATATATAAATACTTTATTACCTGGACCTGGATACGGCTCATCGCCGGCCCGGAGCGGGCGGCCGAGGAAAAGACTTGTAGTTTTGGCATTCGAAACCATTTGTATATACATGATTCTAAGATTGCTCTGTATCCGTGCTTGGTTTGTTGTAGTTTCTTCATTGCCATTGTAATCAAGGTCCACCATTGTTGGTGGATAATGCCTTGAGTTCGTCGCTCGTCGTATAAACTCTATTTCGTATCCGCATACATATAGGGCATTCGCATAAATGCGGGTGAATCCCAGTTCCAAAACGGTAAACCGAACGTCGGATCATTGATCAAATGAGCCAAAATTCTCTCGTAAAAGTATAAATAATATCTATGAAAGGGGAAGAAGAGCCACGAATAATGAATTTAGAGCTCAAGATTAGGGAACCCTACTACATCATATGCTCCTGCACAATACGCGCAGTGGATATTAGCTTGTTGCGTGAAGCTGCGTGGATCGTCATCCGGTAGAGCTTTCATAAACTCGACCGCTTTCGAATATTTCCTTACATAGTTGTCGTCGACTAAATGCGCCGCTCGCAGGACTCGAAACGGGGAGTTCGACGTCATTGGCTGTTTAAAATCGACGATCTTTCGTGAAACCAGTGAGC